TGAAAAATAGGTTTAGAGTTAAGTATTGTTCACTGAAGGAGATTTTGTTTTTGAAAAGGAGAAGAGTTTTCCTAATTCTTTGAAATACTAAAAATATACAAGTTAAGGAACAATTTTAGGATTGAAATAAAAATATATAATAATGTAAATGAAAGAATCAAATAGTTCTCATAGTTCACGTACTTAATTATAATCTTAGTATTATAGGGTTTTTTTGATTAAAAATAAAAATTAGAACAGAATTAAGGTAAAGAAAAGTTGTAATTTATGTAAATCTTTAGATTTTTTATACACTAATGCTTATGAACTTATTAAGATATTAATCCATGCTGATTCTACATGTCAATAATGGAGATCTGGAGATCAGATATGACTTTAAGGGAATAGGAAGGATTAAAGATGGCCTAATTAATATATAAGACTTTTGTATATGTGAATCAAGCTACAATCACAGATTTAAGTTTTCAATTACTTAAAATTATACTGAGTTAATTTGAACTTAAAGTATTGGATTCTATTCATATTTGCTCAATATTAGAAGATTGATTTAGATTCTAATATTTTAAATACTTTAAAAGTTCTTCATATTCCAATTTGTTAAACTATTATGTACATTTTCAATAATTTTAAGTGAAAAATACTAAATAAAATAAGCGCAATAATTAATAGGATTAGTATTAATTAAGTTGATAGATAAATAATTCAATAGTAAGGAGTTAGTAGATCCTCAAATTAAATAAAACCATTGGGAACACTAAGATCTACAAGTGGTTAAGATTTAGAAATTAAATAGGTTGAAAAATTAACTGATGAATATTTTGAATTAACAAAGTAAAAAGTCTTTTTAACTCTATTTTTTATAATGAAATGGACTTTATTAAATTAATAATAACATCTTTTTTAATGTGTTGATGAAATTAAATAATGATGAACTTATTTAATTCGTTACAGAAATTACAAATCCTACAGATCCAAACTAATCAGGATTATTTTAGTTATTAGCTAATGCAATACAATCAGTTGATTCACATATAATTTTGAAACAAATTAAATTAGTAATAGAAAAACTCTGTATTTAATAAATATATAAACTAATATTTTATTTCTTCTAAATTATATTGAATACAATAGTAAAATATGCTAATGAAAATATCTATATTTATATAACCCTTAGATAATTCAGCTTGGTTTACATTTTTGCCATTCGCAGTAGGGCAATTATGGAAACTTTCAAATATGAATCTGACACAAAGTGAATAGAGATAAAATCAAAGAAAGAGATCAATAAAATATTAGGCTGCTCAAACTTATTAGGAATTTTCAGAAAAATTAGATGGAGGATTTGTTTAAATATGTAATATTGAAACAGTTTCTTAGATGTTAAAATTTTGAGTAGAACCAAGAAAAAATTTAGTCAATAATGAAACATTAGAAAATTCATTAACTTATTAGGGATTATTGTTAAATTTAATGAGTAAAATTTCAACTTAATTAATTATGGAACATAAAATATATGATGAATTATTATCAATATACTTGAAATTAGATGCAAATAAATTAGCAGTTATACTATATAGATTTATTGAAATGACAAAATCAATATTAGAACATACTTAAAGTACAGAATTTAATTGTAATTTAATATTTTAATATTAAGGAACATCTTTATTATTAAATTCATTGGTATATGCTTAATAATTCAAATGTTCCTAATATAACTCCTGCAATTGAGATTTTAGGAAGCGTTTGCAAAAATGTAAGGTAAATATTTGATTGGCTATGGGTCGATTAATAATTAGCTACAGAATCATTAATGTTATTGTTTAAATTTTAAAAGAAATTTGATATAGTTATTGAAGAAGAAAAGAATGAGGCAAATAAATAGTAACCTTCAGAAGAAGAATTTGCTAATAAATTATTGATGGTTGAATCCTAGAAATAGCCAGGATAACCATAATAATATATAGTGGAATATTGGTAACTAAATAAAAAAAGAGTTAAAGCTAAAATTCATGTTTTAACTCTTAAAGATGAATTTTCTGAGAATTATATTCTTGAATTTTAATTAGAGAAATCTATTGAATTAAAATAAATTAGAATTGGATTTTAAGCATACACTCCAGAAATATACTGATAGAATTTTAGGTATTTCAGATTTAGGAATATTGGAAGTTAAGAACAAAACTTCAAATAATTTATGGTATCCAATTGATATTATGACTTTAATTGAAGATGAAGCATATACTTATTTTAGTGTTAAAGTTATGGCTTGGGAAATTTAAATTAATAAATTAACTCATTAGTTTAATTACTAATTACATATATTAGATTCATTATGAAAAAATCACAAATAACATTTTTGGAGTAAATTTCTTAATTATCTTTCAAATAATACAATAATATTTAAATAGGTGTGAGTTTCATATCCATAATAGGTTATGATTCATCAATTAATAGAAATAAAAAGATTTAAACTATGTAAGAGAAAACTACTAGTAGATTATTAGGCAAAATGTGTTCTTAAAAATTTAGAAATATATTATTTGATGTCAGTATAATTAAGGCATAATTTAATATATAAAAAATAGCTTTTAAAATATCAGTTTGGCATTGTAATCTAATGAATCTACATCATCACCATTGTTTATAGGATTAACAAAATATAATCCAGAATTTGGAGATTGGGTAGTAGATTAGATGAAGAATATTACTTTGGAATGGGTACATGCAAAAATAAACAGCTGAAATTGCTTTATAAGATAAGGATAAATAATTAGACAGATTAAAGAAATTCTTAAATTACATTTTAAATTAAATAAAATAAATTGGTCAAATTACTAATTCTCAAGATTAATTCACTTAGCTTACACTCTTAATTGAAGCCTTAACTTATGCAATTCTTATTTCAAGCAAACAAAAGAATAAAGAACCAATATTGTTAGATGTAGAAGAAGAAGACTTTAAAAATATTCTATAGACAATAGAAGTAACAAGTTAATCATATGAAATTTGTAATATGATAATCAGATTGTTTACTACTTTAATTAAATTGCCATAACCATATGTTTTAAATATGTAGTTATAATAAACTGAAATCTAAGACATGACATAATTATTATTGCAAAAATCCCCCTTATATAAATTAAGATTGTTTTCGATTTTAGTGTGGATTAGCAATGATGTTGTTAATCTAATTAAACCGCATATACATAAATTCTTTGAATAAACGATAGAATCATTAAAAAAATAGACAATACAGTTTTGTTTGATTACTTTCTTTTGTTGATTCCTCTGCTAATATAACAGAACTTAAAGAATTTTATTGTGAAAATAATTATCATTTATAAGTTTATGAAAATTTGAAAGTCTCAAACCCATCTAAAAAATTATTAAAATAAATTGATAAATTAACATTGAGTCATATTGTAAACTTTATAAGTAAGATAACATTGTCAACATCCTAAGCAATTAGTTAATTAGTTTAAAAATTGATTTAAGATATTAATTTATTATCACAAATTGTAGATATTAATTATGTTGAAAATGTGCTGTATATCTTTATTAAATTTTGAAGGGAAGATTGATTTTACAATTTTTATTTGGGATAATGAATGTTAAATATTTATTGGTGATATAAGAAAATTGATTGTTCTTCATATTTAAGAAGATAAATCCAATGAAACTAGTGGATCATATGAATTAAATGTATTTTAAACCAAAGAATTTACACCTTAATATTATGATACTTTATAATCTGCTATTCAAAAAGTTATTAAAACTAATTCTCTAAAAAAAGGAGGAAGATGGGTTAAGGAAATGGAATTATAATAAGGAGGCTCATATTTCCATAAAACATTATAAACTCTATAAAAGGGACCCTTTTTAATTTTATTATTTGGAAAGAATAATAGACAAAATGAAAATTCTATAATTGGATTATTTAATACCTTAAAATGTGAAAATTTGGTAAGTGAATTTTAACATGATTATTATCCAGGAGAAGTGTGTCCAATTCCAGAGGATGGAGAATAATTTGGATTTACTTATGAGAAAGATAGATCATTTATTAAATAATGATCATAAAACATTTGGTGTAGGTATGGATCAAAGAATGGGGGTTCTTTCTCATTTTTATTAGGGAGAATTAATTTAACTTTTTCAGATGATTAAGAAGTTTCAAATTTTTCTATTGGAATTCATGACTTTGAACTTTTAGAATAAAAACCAGAAGAAGATTATTATTTTGAAGATTTTAGGATGTAAAGAATGGAAATCTGGGTTTATTAATAACCATAATCAGTATCTAAAAGTACATAAAAACCATTGTTTAGTGGATAATCAGGTAATTAATTAATAGAGACAAATGATACTTCTACTTTTGGTTATGGAATTTTAAGTAATCCTATCTTATAAGATAAATACTTTGCTAAATAATCTGTTTATAATTATTTAAGTGCTACACCTGTTTATTCTATACCAGGAAATTGCAATAATACTAATATTTTATAATGTATCTATGTATCTAATATGTATTTGAATGAATAAACAATTAAAAATTCAACTAGTATTTAATTTAATGGTACACTAATTTAATAGTAAACAAAACCATTTCCAACATTTGTTGTTGATGGATTAGAATTATTGGGATAATTAAATTCTCTTACAGAAACACCATTGTAATATTCAGCAGCTTTGAAAATTTTTGAAGCATTTCAAAATTAAGATGGTGTTAAATAAATCATTTTAGCTGTCTAAGATGCAACTAAAAAATGGTAAAACTAAGAATTAACATAAATTTGGAATTCTTATGTTTCTGAATTAAGTGCATTTTGTTCAGTTCCATAATTTTTCAGTTATTATTTAAAAAATAAGAAATCTATGGAATTACTCTTTTAATTATTAGCAGGTACTCCTGATTAACCTAATAGTGATTAAAAAGCATGGAAAGAAAAGGAAATTGAGGCTGTTAAATTTATTTATGATACTTTGTCAGATGTTTTTAAGACACATAATAATTAAGAAATTAGAATTATTGCTATTAATGATAATTTAATATAAAAAATTTTAGATAAAATTGCAATTGTTAGTAAAGAAAAGAAAAGAGTCTATTAAGCAATTATTGCTGAAGAACCTGAACAATAATAATAATAGTAGTAAAATCAGGCATAAAGTGATAAAGGAGTTGATAGAAAACTTAAAAAGAAATAAGGTGTTGGTTATGGAAGTGATTAAACTGGATAAAATTAAAAATGGAATACCTAGGAATATTTAGATAAAAAAAAAGTAAGATCTGAATAATTAAAATCCCTTTTAGAAATTATAAGAAACTTTTTCAATTATGATAATTGGCATTTAAATTAAGAACTATCAAAAAGAATTAATGAAATGATATTTGAAAGTGCATTATTATCATTATTAGAAGCTGCTTTTAGATCAGGTTCATTGTTAGAAATGTCAAAAGATTTTGACCTTAATTTATGTTATCTTCAACTAACAAAGACCTTAGCAAAACATAAAAATCTGACTCCTTTATTGTTAAAGATCCCTTCAAATTATATACCAAAATAGATAGAATCAATAGCAGAATTGTTAAGTAACTTAAAAAATATAGCTCAAATATTTTTATCGTGTTTAAAAACAAATGAATTATCAGAGAAGGATTAGATTTCAAAGTAAATAGCAACAATAATTATGGAGACAGACACATGTGTTTAGGAAGCAATAGAAAGATTTGAATGTGATTAATCAGATGAGGAATTAGAAGAAGCAAAAGAGCATGAATTGTAAGAGATATTAAAATTACCATTAAATGAATCTTATAGATTATTATTAAAGGATTTAAGATTCGATTATGTTTCATTTAAAGGATAAAATCAATAATATTAACATTATTATGAAAAATAAATAACTTAAGCTCCAATACCAACTCCAGCAAAATTGATTCGTTTAGCATAAGAGTTTGCAGATATGTCTAATTCATTACCAGTTGAACATACAAATTCAATATTTGTAAGAGCTGATAAGGATAGAGTAGATGTAATAAAAGCATTAATAATGGGAGCATCTGGAACACCATATGCTCATGGAGCTTATTTATTTGATATATATTTTGAAGACCAATATCCAAATACTCCTCCTAAGATGAATTTATCAACTACTGGAGGTGGTAAAGT